GGGCGGGCGGCCTGGGGCTGGGCTGGGGGAGACTGGGAATGCTCGGAGGGGTCCTGGTGAAAAGGGGAAGACTCTGACTTTCTAAGTTCTCTCTGAAGTTGGGGTCCCATTGGAGCCTTATTCTCCCAGAAGCTTCAGGCTCCTAGGCCAAAGGGTATAGGAGTACCCCTCCTTCCTCCTTCACCGTCAACCGAGAATTGGACAAGTCCCCAGGAGCGAGGTCCCCACCCTGTCCCACACGGGTCCCCACATTGTCTCACCCAAGCAGCTGAGTAGGAGAGATAGGTATCCAGCCAGGCCTGCCCAGGAGGCAGGACCCCGGTCTTCCCCACAGCGCCTGAGTCAAGGCCTAAGATACCAACCCAGGAGGTAGGTGTGAGCAGAAATGAGTGACAAAACCTTCCTAGATCTCCAGCCCAAGCCATTCGAGGGACTGCCCAGGTGAGACCTGGGTCACCTAGCAGTGAGGAGGGAGGGCAGGAGTCTTAAGTTTCTCTGTGTTGTGAGGGAAAAAGAAATTGGCAGGGCCTCCAGGCTTACTAGGCTGGAGGCACACACACCCAGTGCCTCTGATTCAGAGAGAGCTTTCCAGAGAGGTGAGGATGACACAGAGGCTGGTGGCATACCCTGCCGGGAAGAGCTTCTTCGGAAGTACAGACCTTTTACCTGCCCAGGCTTCCCTCACCTACGCCATTTGGCAGAAGTCCCCCAGGCCTCTTCATGCTGATTCTGGGTACTTTATCACAGGCTCTCTGATCCCAATGCTGTTTGCTAGGTGGAGGGTAAGTGAGGCAGGTCACAGACATAGATAGTTCCTGGGCCTGAGACAATGTGTTGCAATGACAGGGCAGGATAACCCAGGAGTCCCCTTCTCAGGCATGGAACCTGCCACCCTGGACCCACACAGCCCAGCCTCTAGCAAACACTTCCCCATTTGTGTGCCCCTTCCCCCCTCACTGTGTGTGTGTGTGTGGGGGGGGCATTTCTGAGACCAGATAAAGGTAGCATGGCTGGCAAATGGGCACCTGAGCCGGTTGCCGGCTTGAGGGAGTGGGTTGGGGATGGCTGGCAGATATAGGTTTTGAGGTGGAGGTACTGGATGGGAAAGGCAGAGGGGCAAGAAGAGGGACAGCTACCTCTGCTGAAGATGGGACTCTCGTAGGGGATCTTATTTCGAGTCTCGAGACTAGAGCAGTTCCAGCGCTGGTCCCGGAACTGGTGCTGACATTCGTGGATGGCAATCTGGATGCCCTGGATGGCTGAGGCAGCCACATCAGGGTGGCGCACACACACCTCCATCTGCCTCTTACTCAGGCCGGGCAAGGTCAGGCACACGGTGTTGGCGTCCAGCACGGGCTCCGGGGGAAGGCGGAGGCCCAGAATGTCGTTGGGTGCAGACCTGCAGAGTGGGATGGGGGTGGGTGAGTGTTTGGGGAACTAGGAGGACCCCATCTAACAGTACACAGTCTGTCCCAAAGGCTATAATCCCCTGGCCTTTGACTTTGGGCCCATCAGCGTACCCCTAAAGCATTCTCTTTTCCTTGACCTTCTCACCAGCATCAACTCCAACAAAACCCACCCAGCTGCACACCCACACAGGTAAACATGTGCAAATGCACACATCTGGAATGCCTGAACACACAGTATTTTATAAGTACATCTGCAGACATAGATGCTTACACACACAGCATTCCCCAGAAGACCACTCTTTTAAGACATGTTTCAGACAGTCATATTCCTGAAGACACACTTCTGCACATTGAGGTGAACACCCAGACCCACTTACACACATGCACACTTCACCAGACATAGTTACACACACAGACACACAAGTACACACATGTGTTCATCTTAACATCTAGGAGCTCTCACATTCACATACATGTGAATACAGACTGTTATTTACATAACACAGCTTGCTGGGCTCACACACACACACACACACACACACCCCTTCCATCTTCAGTACCTCACTGGCCCCACCTGGGCTACACCCTTCCAACCCCCAACCCTGTCCCTGCCTGTGAGCCATCTCCAAGGTGAAGCAAGGCAGTTTGAACTTACTCCTCAGGTGGGGGCGCATGGCCCCAGCACAGCACTGACTCCAACTTGGTACTTGCTACACACACACACACACACACACACACACCTCACCTTCCCTTCTAGTAGCCATCACTCTCCTGGGCACTGCCCTGTCTCCCTGGACTGCCCGTTTTCTGTCACCAGTTCTACACCCTCCTATGAGGACACTGTCTTTCATTGGGCAGCAGGACCTTCCTGCGACACTGTCCCTCCCTCCTTCCAGGGTCCCCAGAGGCCTCTGTGGCTGGGGGTCCCAGCTCTCTAGGAGGGCGGAGCATAAGGTGAGGGCTCACCTGGGCAGGGCGGCAGCCAGCAGCAGTAGGAAGAACAGGAGCGCGCAGAGCGCGGGCCGCGGCTGGGGCCCAGGTCGGAGA